GTTTTACCATTTGTAGCACCTGAAGTTTTAAGAGGTCAACCTTATACTTTAGCTAGTGATATATATAGTTTTTCTATGATTATGTGGGAATTAATATCTGGAGTTCCTCCATTTGAAAATGAAGCTCATGATTTTCAATTAGCTTTAAGTATATGTAAAGATAAAAAACGACCTAAAATTATTAAAAATATTCCACAATGTTATATAAATTTAATGAAAAGATGTTGGGATATAGATTCATTAAAAAGACCAACTGCAATAGAAATTAAAAAGATTATAGAAAATTGGATAAAAAATATCATTACTAAAGATATTGAAAAAGAATTAAAGAATGATATTTTAGATTTTTATAATTCAGATAAAGTATTAAAACAAATACAAAATAATAATATAATTAATGATAAAGTTATTGTTAAATCACATCCACAAGCATATCATACTAGTCAATTACTTAATTTTACTGAAAAATTAAATGATATTTTTGAATTAGAAATTAGTCAAAGTATTGGTAATTATTATATTATATTAAAATTATAAAATATATAATTTTAATATTTTTTTTAATATTAATATATTTATTTAATTTAATAGAAGCCTTAAATTTTACAAGTATTGAAATAATAAATTTAAATTAACATTAAATTATTTATTTAACCAATTAATATATTTTTATAAAAGTTAAAAAATCATTTATTTTATTTATATTTTATAAATATTTATTTAGTAACACTATATATAGAATATATTTTATTAAAAATATAGTTTGTAATTGCTAAAATAAAATTTATAAATAAATTAAAAGTAATATTTAATGATAAATATATATATTATTATTTTAAATTTAAACTTTTTATATATATAATTTCTTTTAAAATATATTAAATCAAATTATTATTAAGGATAGCATGCTATCTGAATATTCCTTAAGTAAAACTTATTTGATACAAAGTAAAGATATTATTCCTGAAATATTAGATGCTATCCCTAATATGTATCAACTTATTGATAAAAATAATGAGAAATTATTGAAGGAATTTAAACAACTTTTAACACTTTTAATACTATTTCACAACCTTAAAATATCTCATCTTATCCTGCAAATACTAATAATAATTGAAGAAATAATAATAATAGTAATAACTGAAGGAAAAATAATTACAATAATAGTAATAATAGGAATAATCCTAACAACTGTAATAATTAAAGTTGTTATAACTATAGACTAATTGAACATATGGTTAGGAATTATTGATAAAGAAATTCCTAAAATAACTAAAATAGTAAAAGAAATAATCAGTATAATCAGAATAATACTATTAATATAAGAATTAGCTATCATAATTGTTAACAAAGAAAACACATTTTGAGAAATTGTAAATACCTACCTAGAGAATCTTATTCTCACTATAATTAACTTGAACATTGAAAATTTATGTCTAACTAGAAATATAAATAATATTGAAAATAATAAAAGGATTACGAATAGCATAAATAGTTATAATCTTACCAAACAACAAGCTGTACTATCTTAAACTACACTCATATATAACTCAACTGTTTTTCTCTCGCAAATTTCTATGACTTTTATATATCTAATCTATCCACAAATACTAATAATATTTTCTTTTATCATAGCAGTCTTTAAACTATTGATGGTACTTTTTGAGGGTAAGTGTATCACTAAATACTATATATAAACCCCAAAAGTAGTTGAAGCAGTTTATTGTAAAGTTACAATTGATAATAAACCAATTTATTTAATTTTAGACTCTGGATCAACTAGAAGTATAATGTTGATTAATATATAAAGAATGATCTCAACTTTTAGGATAAGTTATAAATATTCTCTTACAATTAGATGATGAAGAAATTCTGATTAATATTAACATTATTGAATCAAATGATTATTATATAGTCGCAAAAAATGACTAGCTTATAAAATGCTGAGAATGACTTTATTAGAATTATTAAAAATCACCTTTTATTGGAATAACAAAGAGCATCAAGTTCTTATGACTTGTTAGAAGAAATCACAATTTGACCACTTTTAACAAATAGTAGTTATCACAAATAAAGCATCCAGATAAAGAATATAATGATGAAGAATTAACAGCTTAATGATATTATAATGTATTAGGAGATAATGATAATTTAATTCCTTTAGCAATAATAAGCAGATTTTTATAGAAAGACAAAAGTATTTGCCTTAATATTTTGAAAGTTGAATCAAAAATTTAATACTCAACCACCAGAAAAAACCAAATATAAATACCATTGAAAAGAACCAGAAAATTAATGTTGATACTATAATATGTTAAATCAGATTAATAATATTTGTTAGCTTTGTAAAAAAGGATAGGACTATTAGCAATTATTACAAAAGATTTCTAATGAATCTACCATTCAAATTCATATGTATTCACATTTTAATAGGCATTAACAATAACAAATAATCCAATTTCTCAACAAAAATAATGATGCTTTTGCTAATGATTTGTCATAATTAGGTCATACAATAGTTGAAATGCATCATATTTCAATAGAAAATCCTCTTCCAATCTGATAACAGGCATACTGAGTAACTCTAATAGAACAAGAATTCATCAAAAAGGATACTAATAATATATTAGTATATAATTTAATTTAACCATCTGAAAGCTCTTACATTTCATCAGTTATTTTAGTATGGTACTGATGTATATTTTCACTTGGTTTTGCATATTAGCAGTAATTCAAATAGCTGTAGGCATACTTAGTTTTTATAACTAACTAGATTGCTATTAAATCATTTATCTACTCAAACTTTTTTTAGGTTTCAAAATCGAGTTGATTCTGAATTTGAGAAAATATTAGAGAAAATAGATAATTTTCCAGCTGATTATCCTTCTTTTTATCCAATTGAGGATTATCTAATTTTCCTAAAAGAAGATATATAAAAACTTGGCTTTGAATTTTTCTCTTTTTTCATTTTTAGATGCTAATTTTCTATTCCTTATAGATCTTGACGATAATTTTTTTAAATTATCTATTTAAATTTTTTTTAAATATTAAATAAAAATATATTTTAACTAAAATAATAAATTACTTTATGATCTATTGATTATATAATCATTAAATATACTACATAAAAAAGTCATAAAAATAAGTCATTGACCATATATTTTATCATATAAGAGCATTTCCAGTAAAATCACATTATGGATCATATGATTTACTATGCCTCATAACTTGATTTTACTGAAAACATTTTCATATTTATCGATCTATAATAAGATTTATTATATTCTACAACTAATAGATACCGATAGTCTTTTATTTATAAGAAAATTTTTCCATGCTATTTAAATGATTTATTTTTTTATAATTTTATAAAAAATTGATATATATAGAATTATTAAAGTATTTGAAATAACATATAAATTTTATGTAAAATAAAAAAATTTTTTTTTCTTATATTTTAAATATGAATCCCTATAAGAAATCGAAATAAGGAAATAATACGTTTTTTATAAGGTTTGTATACGTAATTAATGATTCTATATC